GGGGGGGGGGGGGGGGGGGGGGGGGGGGGGGGGCGATTCGTATTAAAAGTATGCAATTTCAAAATATTCGGATTCGTGTGAACGGGGCCTAAACCTAATTGACTATTTTCCAATTGCCCATAATAGACTCTGTTTGCCCCCCAAATTTTGCATAACTTATTGTCTTAAAATGCTCTTGGGAAAATGCAATACTCCCAGGAGCATTTAAAAACAATGGTTTATGCAGAATTTGGGGGGCAAACAGAGTGTATTATGGGCAATTGGAAAATAGAGAATACTTTTTTGCCGTTCTCGTTGCCGTCGTCGTTGCTTAAGCTCCTTTTTGTTAGTTAAACGAGATGTAAGAACCAGGGTTGCACCCCATCTCCCACCTCACCTCCTTGAGAGAATGCTACGAACCTGCAAATTGTTTATCTGAAAATCCACCAAACACGTAGCGTCCAACTTGCAGTATTGTTAGTGTTGGCGCCAAATCATAGAGGTTACAATTCTGACGGAATTTTTCCATTCCAAACCCATGGTCGGTTGCTCTGTAGCAGATGTGCCACCGTATGTTTATTGGCATGAAGGGTTTTAGCCAATTTGTTAGGGCATCTTGATACACGTCGTTCAGACCCAAAATTTCAGAAACGAAATACACTGAAAATTCCAAAAAATAGGGCAAAATTATAGGGATTAATATATACATTTAGCCAAGGCGAGTGGCAAGTAACTTGTCAGCGACTAACTTCAAAAAAACACGTAACCTCGATGGTCTGCAATACGGTCATTTGATACTAGTCAGCGGAAACCCTGAATTGACAACTGCCAATTGATCACAACATGGATGTGCAATATCAGGTTGCAAGCTCTTAATCTAGCCAGAAAGTGGGGGAGAACTTCACTACGGTACCCAATTTTCGCAACGGTATTGTAAACGCGAAAGGACCACTCGTTTCGGTGTGAAATCGGTCTACCGGTAGACTGGAACGGGTAGCGCATGCGTACTGTTTGCGATTTTAAATAGCATTTAATATTATGGACATGAAATGTACCTTCATATAAACGTGGTATGAAATGACCATGTCTTCATGTAAACGCGATGCGAAAAAAGGAAGTCATCCCGGTATGAAACTCGCGTAGGTGTGAGTTTTCACTTGTAAACACCCCCTTACTTATTAACTAGAAATGAATTATCGCAAAATCCTCGCGAAGCTTTCAAGGATCAGCAATGAGAATAGAATAAAGGGAAACATGGAAAAGGAAAAATGATAAAAAAAGGAAAAAAATGTACAAATTTTTATGGTATGGCTTCGCCGGGATTCGAACTCGCTCCCCCGAGTTTGCTATAAGTGAAAATTGACCCTTGACCAAATGCCCCACGCACCCTATGTCACAACTGGATGGCGTCAACTGCAGACAACCAAGAGATCTATAGATATACGCGCAACTCGAGTTTCTGCCTTGCTGTGCGATCAAGGCGCGACAAATTTATGAACTTCGCTTCGATCGGAATAAGATTGATAAGATTGCGGTGTTTAATGTACCTCTGTAGCTCATCCAAAAGCCGATTGAAAGGCCATTCGCACAAAAGTCCATCTTGCCCAAGCATTCTCCTTGAAAAGATCCCAGGCTAACATAGGAATGTGCGCCTCTGCTGATGACATTAAGTCTCGTGTCAAAGAATGTTGTGGGGCCTTGAATAAATGCACTCGTCCTTGAAGTCAATATTTCAGGGAGATCAAGGTGGTTTTTCCGGTTTAGCGGCCAATTATAAGTCGCTAAAAAAAATCATAACAGAAAAATCAGCAAAGAAAATTAGAATATGTGTGTTTATATGAATGGCTTTTTTCACGCTTTTGTTGTGCGGCGATCAACAGAAGACGTCATAAAAAAAATCATTCTAGTTTGTAAATCTCTTCACAAAACTTGAAAGTTGGAAAGTGTATACGAATGCTAAGTAACACTTTCTTGGCTTCGGGCGAACAAAATCCTACCAAACTGTAGTCATGATCGTTTCTCACGAAAAGTTGTTTGAGTTATATATTTTATTAAGGAGGCAAAATGGAATTTCTTCTGATGAGTTAGCAAAAAAGGAGCATTTCTTCGCAGGACCAAAGTGGTACCTTTATCATACTACGTATTTATTCTTTTCTTTAAAGTGTAATTCAAGAATAAGGTATGTTGTTTTCTAACTATGGTATCACGATACATTGAAGTGATAAGGGCAAATAAATAAATAACTTAATTAATAAAATAAATAAATATACCTTCAATTTTGCATCTAACAAATTCAACCCTCTTAACATCACCATGCAGTCGTATTTGAGCCTCTGGCCAAGCAATCAAGGAGCCTAACTGAATACTACAGCTTGTGTACAGATCATGTATCGTTTCGTCAGTCAGCTTATAATCCCACATNCAGGACCAAAGTGGTACCTTTATCATACTACGTATTTATTCTTTTCTTTAAAGTGTAATTCAAGAATAAGGTATGTTTTTTTTAACTATGGTATCACGATACATTGAAGTGATAAGGGCAAATAAATAAATAACTTAATTAATAAAATAAATAAATATACCTTCAATTTTGCATCTAACAAATTCAACCCTCTTAACATCACCATGCAGTCGTATTTGAGCCTCTGGCCAAGCAATCAAGGAGCCTAACTGAATACTACAGCTTGTGTACAGATCATGTATCGTTTCGTCAGTCAGCTTATAATCCCACATATTGAATTCCATAATATCTGCCCTTAAGCTTTCCGCTTTCTCTACCGCTCCGGAGCTGTTCTGAGATTGGCCGAGGACCAGATGGCCTCCTGGGTAAGGAGTGGCACGCGGAGGACCAAAAACGTTGAAGCCAGGTTTGTTGTTTACAAAGAAAGACCAGTTACCCGATATAACGTCCCATTTCAACACCAAATGATGCCATTCGTTACCACTAAAGCTCTGGCTTGAGTCATGGTAACTGTTGGGAGGGACCAATCAAACCATTGAGAAATAAATGAAATCCTTGTCAAAGGTTTGATCCCGCGCAAGAAAGCAAATAACCGAAAGGCTACTTAAGAAACCTTATCTGCATAATTTTCTTCCCTACACTACTGAGTACAAGCATTCTCAGTTTCTTTGCCCCACTTACACGAATGGACAATACCTTGGAAAAATTGTTTTTTACTCTAAGGTTTTTTTTTTCTCCTCTTAAATCATGTATGGCGCCAGCAAATACTTGTACATATTTAAGGATTCATACTGTATAGTAAGGTCGTTCCATTTAAACTACAACTGTACTAAATTAGATTTTCTGGAAATTATCTGAGGCAAAACATCTGTTATTTAGTTTGTTTTCTTCTCTAGTATGGGAATGAGAAGCTTGAGAGTGTCACTTTTTAACACGAATTTCATTGCATGCATGGTTTGGGAAGACAGTGTTAAGTGAGAAATCTTTTGAGTAAAAATACAACAGCAGTTGGCCAAATCACAGACCCTCTATTTTCTCTTCAAAGCCCGTCGAGCGCGGGCTGATAAAATATAAACCGCAGGGGGATTAATTGACGGCCAGCGCGAGGCGGTAGTGGTGGGGGAAGTTCTTTATTTTTCTTTCTCGCGTTCTGCGCTCGTTCTCGCGCCCTTGCTTCGCTCGCGAGCTCGCTGATGTTTTTGAAAAGAATGAATATAAAAATAAGACAACGTCTGTTTACAGGCTACAAACATAACAAAGGTGTTCTCTATCAGTGGCAGGAGTAAGTGACTCATTTCTCGCAGTTTACTCACCTTACGTTAGTATCTAACGTTATTCTGCAATGTCTATTCCTCATCGTAGAAAACTCAAGGTATTTGGCTTGTGGTAAGTTAACCAGCGAAAATATCGCTGACCATCTTTCAGCCATCAGACCTCTCATCCACCATGAAACGGTGAAGGTGTTAAATTCCAAGATGATTGGGACAGAAGCGAATCCCTGAGATAATGTTCCAGAAAAACTTAGGTAGTAATCCCACGGTCGTTCTGTAACATCAGGAAAATCAATTATTAAAAAGGTTCTTAAGTGGACAGATAATGATGATAACAAAAACTTGAGTTTCCTTCTCAGTATTTCAGCTTATTTCGGTAAGCTTCCTAGTTTCAACGGCTTTGAAAGCTTACTAGGCTTTCGGGAGTTTTTCCACCCTTTGTCGGCCATTTTTTTAAGCGGGCGCGGGAACGTGAAGTAAAGTTACGTCACGTCGTTTACGAAGTTTGATTGGTCAATTATCTTTTCTTCTCTTTCCAAATATGGTACTTTCGAAAACGAATAATCACGAGCACCGGACAAAGAAAACATATGAGAGTTACACGTTTCAACCCCTTATGAGTTTCTGGTGATAATCATTAAACAAAATTTCTATTAGAATTACTAGTTTTCATGCATGGACTGCGCATCCTTATTTCTATACGCTTTACTAACCTCTGCGCGTCCGTAACTTCATTGCAGATTGTTTCAGCTGATAATTCGCACCTCTCCAGTCCTCCCATACTATTCCATTTGGAGAAGTGGTATATACACCATTCAGTAAAGCGCGAACGCAGTCCTGTAAATACCACCACCCTCCACCATACGTGGAAGCACAATCCAAACTACTGCTTCCATCATTATTCCGGTCAATGGTACTAAACTTTTTGCCACTGTGCTCGGAAAGTGCATCTCCAGCAGTACCAGAGTATGTAAAAACTTCAAGCACGTACTTTTCGCTCTCGGAAAAAAGAGCAAAATGGTTGTACAACGCATGCGCTTTCTCGCCTCCATGGTCCTCAAGCTCTACCATAAGTTGCTGCCTCATTGAGGATAGTCGATGCAACTTCTCATTACCTAGCCAGAACTCACTCGACAAGTTGCCAAATCCTTCCTTGTATTGATCCCAGTTTTTGTCTTCGAAGGCGTGAGTTCCATTAATGTGCCTTTGAAAGACAACCCAGCCCCCACCACCTGTCTCCTGATCGCAGAAAACTTGAAATTCTCCAGTACCATCGGGGTCAATTTGATAAATACCGGAAGTGTTGAAGCCATGGTACAACAGATCAAGACAATCCCGCCCTGTTAGTAACGAGTAATGACATTTAACACTGATAGTGGCAGGTGAATGTACCTAAAAAGCGGTTAGATGTTACTCCTCCAAAAGATTTTCATATTATTTATTGAAAACGATTTTAGAACAAGACTCCATCTGAAACATATGTTTATTTGTTTCTTAGACACGTTTCCCCCTTCTCCATCAGTGCTCCGTTTTACGGGTATTTAAAGCGATTTAAAGCTACACGGAAAGGAAAGTAGCCCGCGAACAGACGTATTTCCGGTCGTCGACCGGAAATACGTCTGCTGTTCGCAGGCTAAAAGGAAAGAAGATGTACGAAGCATTTGAGGTCACACCTGGGAATCGAACTCGGAACCTCCAGCGCACAAAAGACCGCGTACTGACCAACCGCGCTAATCCTTCCTCCTAAATTCTTGGTCAGCGGATTCCAACCGTTAGCGGGATTCCGGATTTCATAAAGCCCACAATTCCTGACTTTCCAAGAAAAATGTTCCCGGATTTTGGACTCTACCAGCAAAAAATTTCCCCGATTCCGGAATCTGGATTACCTTACAACAGCGCCAAAACATCCTTTAGTTTGACCCGGGGGGGGGGGGGTACTTCTTAGTAATAGGCTGATTTAGCAACAGGACGGGAACGTCAGTTGACGACGGGAAAGCGTGCGGAAAGGACTAAACACGACTTCCGGTGCCCAATTTGCCGCTCTGCCATTGGTCAAGCCAGTTGTTTAATTTGCGCGCGCTGTCCTCAACTGACGTTCCCGTTCTGTTGCTAAATCAGCCTAATAGGCTAATGGGGATGTGCAGCTGGATGGGGTCGCATTTTCACGGCTGGATTGACTATAATGGGGTTGCCTTTTCATTAGAGTTACTAGAAAGGGATAGCACATTTTCGGGAATCAGGGGATCAGAAAATTCAGGTATGTAGGGATTGAAAAATAGAAAGATTTACACCACATTAAGTTTAACAAATCTGTCAGTTCATTTCAAGATGACCTAGTTAAAAGGCTTTATAACATAGATGCATAAACAGACAGTTACATTTTCCCAAAAAGCGATTAGGATGGGGTCCATCGTTTGACTACAGAATAGACTGTAATGGGGTAGGGGTTCTGAGAGGCCGGCGGCACATACCCAGCAGGAATTAACCCAAGTAATTCCCCCACTCCACCCCACCCCCAGGGAACTTGGACTACTTTGCTTGGCTTTTTGGGTCGTTTGACCACGATGAATTCCAGTACTCACCTATAAAACCTGAGCTTCCCTCCACTCGTGCATCAAGGGTAGCAGAAAAGAGGACCAGGTATACCTAATTAAAACAGATTGAAGGAAAAATAGACTTTCAAGTGATTTGCTGCTTAAATCAAACATTCACTCAATTAATGCCACCTATTCAGTTATCTTATGCAGATGTTTCCATCATATTCCTCGCGCTGAGCTTGAAATGACACCCCCCGCCCAGAAACTATTTCATTTTGCTCGTAAGAAAAAATAGTGCCTTCAATGTGGTGATTGATAGTAAAAAAATTGTTTTGACTTTATTTTTATATTCATTATAATATCTTTTCTCGTACCAATTTATAAATGTTAAAAATCAAGGCAAGATTATATTACCCCAAAAAGTCTAAAACAAAATTTTCTTTTGTTTAATTATATATGGTATTTCATAAAATGCTGTCTATTTATAGGAAAACGAGAGCAAAACAATGTAGTAAAATGAAAAGTAGTGATTAATTAGGAATTCGTGAGAATCTTAAAATGTAAGAGCCAGTTTCTGTCTAAGCTTAGGCTTTTCTAAGGTTCCCATGCTTTTTAGAATACACTAATATCTTTCATAAAATGCTGTCTATTTATAGGAAAACGAGAACAAAACAATGTAGTAAAATGAAAAGTAGTGATTAATTAGGAATTCGTGAGAATCTTAAAATGTAAGAGCCAGTTTCTGTCTAAGCTTAGGCTTTTGTAAGGTTCCCATGCTTGTTAGAATACACTAATATACAGAGAGTTTGTATGATTCAAGTTTAGATCCACGGAGTATAATAACATGTATAAATAATAAATTTAAATTCTCATGTCAAAAAAGAAAAAACATATGATATTGGTGCAGTAATAAGTTAAAATTAATGTAATTTAGCCTTCTTTTTGCCGAGACTTCAGTGGAATTAAGATTTAAGGCACTGGTTAATAGTTTGTTTATTCGAAAAAATGAAGTGATGGTTGATAAAACATTCGCAAAAGATTATCAAAAATAGTCAATCTACGCTGCGCAGGGCGTTCAATTGTTTTTTTCCGAGCTTAGATATAAACAGTTCCTAATAAATTAAAGCGGTAACGTTAGGTGAGAATACACAATTAAAACGGTTCTCCTAAAAAATTTAATCGGTTTACGAATTCAAATGGAACATGGGTTATTAAAGCTACAGAAAACTAGAAAAAAGTTTTTCCTATTTTTTTGTTTTGAAATTTCGATTGTGGAAAAATATTAGAAATTTGCAGTTTTCCCCTAATTGTCCGCAATTTTGCAATGTAATTTCTAAAAATTAACGCTTAAGACCTTGGATATACTTCCAGTAGTTTTCATTTGAAAAGTTTTGTCCTTTTTTGTTTCAGCCATAAAACCGAGTCAAAATGACCCTAAAGGCATGACAGTAACGCAGAAAGCCTTTCATTGGTATTATCACTCGAGGATTGTTGAACAAAACGTAGAACGCTTGGAGTAAAATGTTCGTTACCGTCTGATAAGTACCTTTTTGATCGCTTAGTAGTCTTTTTTATCTGCTTACTCATCAACCTTTTTCATCGCGTAAAAAAATAATTACGAAAAACATAAGGATGCCGTACGTACAAAACATAATCTAAACGATATAACAAAAAAATGAACTTACCAAAAATCCCCTGCTTGATCTAAAAGTCATTTCTGAGTTCAGTCAGCGTCAATAAAAGAAAATGCTTTGATATCATTCTCAATAAAGAAATAAAGATTTTTATTTTCTGCTGAAATGTGTTTCGTGATTGTACGGCTAAGAGAGGGGGAGTAAAATAAAACATGCTGCGCGGAAAATTTGTTTTGTTGTACACACTTCGAGAAGTTAGCTTACCTCGCCTATCAGGTGTTTAAAGTTTTATGACCTGAATAACATGAGAATGTCATTGACTTATCTTGGTCACCGAGAAAGAAAAAACACACTAATTCTTTGTTAAAACTTTACAGGTTTATTTTAAGACACTTACGATTTTCTATTGGCATTTCAATTATTGTTAGCGGAGCTCCACGCGAGCGGATCCCAAGAAAATTTGGTTATCTATCCATCTGTGAAATTTTGGTAGTCAAGTGACCGTACGTCCGTCCGCACCACAGGGTAACCAATGTGTAATCTCACTCTTTCAAGCTAATTTGCTTATGTTGGAGCCTGTAGCCTCCCACGCAGACGTTCGTAGGCGTTCGTCACGCGTTCCTGCCCCACGAATGTCTGCTGCAACGAGCGGTTAAATTCCTTTCTCATTGTGAGAAGAACCAATCGGCACTGTTGAACTCAAAGTGCTGACAAACCAGACATAACGTACAAGCTCGGTAGAGAGTGATAAGAGACCAAAGAGTGTTGCTTCGGACAAGAACGTAGAAGATATGAGTTGGGTTTTCCTATATTTCTCTCTGTTATGGCTGGATTAGATGCCCTTTGCTGATATACATAAAGGTTTTCTTTTGGTGAGGCAACGGTGGGATGGTACATTGTAACTGAACAAAATGCAGAATTTTTTTCGCAGTTCATTGTTTTGTAGTAAAGCTGACTTTCGTTCAGCAAATTTATCCTCCGACTTAATTTTGTCAACGGGATTGCGAGGGTAGCCTCCAGTACGAAGGGCATGTGAGTTAACTGGGTAGTTTGTTCCAAAAGTGGAAGGTCTTCACTGAGACCTTTCTGATGTTTTCTGGAGTCTCGCACGAAATTTCTCAGGTCCAAAGTGCACTTTCTAGATCTGCAAGTGTGCTGTGATTGGTCTACGTTTTTTTCCACTCGTTTTAGCAGACGTTTGTTGAGGAGGATTGCGTGACGAGCCTGTGATTAATTGACAGCTATCAAAACTGTATCACATGACCGTATTGCGGGCTCAGGTGTGAGCCATGGAGGAAACGTGTGTTTTTGAAGTTATCCGCTGACAAGTTACTTGTTTTTCAATTCATCGCAGGACCAACTCCAAGTGGATTTCTTTGCAATGGTTACAAGTTTATTTTTTGAATTAAATTATAAATTTATTTACGGGAGCTTCGCCTTGTGTAAATCTTTATATTATAACTAGCAGTGAGTGCGTTCGAGTGCTTTACCATCAAGCATTATTTCAAAATACGTGTAGGGTAAAGATTAAGAAAAACATTTTTTCAAAAATAAATATATTTTCTAGACGTATAGTCGTTTAACTGAAAAATTTTCGGATCAATTTAGGTTTTTGGGAAACTGCCCACCTACCCCTCCCCTAAAGCCGACATTAACACTTAGTTCTTACTTAGGGCAAAATGATTGCTCAAGGGAGGGGTGGGTGGGTAGTATCTCAGAAACCTAAATTCTTGTGCCTAGGTACACAGCGATTCTACAACTGTAGCAGGAATGTAATATCAAGTGTAGGGTATCCCTGCGTATACACCGCTCTTGATATTGCCTCCGATAAAAGCCGTTTTTGTTTCAAAACGCGACGCGATCAAACGTGCAATTGAGGTTGCATTACGCCTCCCACACAGGTTACATGTTTTAAGGGGCTGTTTAACGGAATGACTTTCATTCCGGAGCGAGTTTTGTTCCAGAGTGAAGTTCGTACTGCATACACATGATAAAATCAACCAGCCTATTCGAAGGCGTTCTCTCTCGCGCCAGATCAGATACGCATGCGCCAGATTTCCCAGACTACACGGTCTGCAATTTTCAATTCGGAAAAAAGTTCATTTTCATGATAGCGGAATGAAACGAGAATTTCATTCGCAACAAAAAGCCGGAATGACTCGAAGGGAAG